TTTGGAACTTTACAGAGAAACCAACAGACCCTTTCAATTTTTAAAGAAAAGTATATGAAGAAAACCCCTTCTGTTTAAGCAAAAGCTCCTTAAAATAAGGCATTATTCTGCCCTCGTGTTTCTTCTTCTTTTGGTTTGAAAATGGTGGCTTAAGATGAGGTATTATCTTACAAAGGGTGAGAGGGGAGTGGAGGAAGCATCCTGTAAGTTTCACACGAGATCTAAAATATGGGGTTTGACAAATGATATGGAGTTGTGGTCTTAGACAGAACACTAAACACTTATTTTATTCAATCTCTTAACTACCTGTAAGCCATATTTTAGAATTGAATTCTGTATTAAATAAAGGGTCCAGAGAGAGAGAGAGAGAGAGAGAGAGAGAAGGAAGAGGACAAGATTTAATTTACTATCTTAACTAGTTGTAATGTCCAATGAGGCTATATATGATGATAAGATCTCACTCATATGTTACTCAAAGGGAGATACATGCCAGCACTTTCTTCTGCTTTCTGATTATTCTCTTCCCCACATCCAAGCACCACTCGCCCCCTTCTCCTTCTGACAATATTTCCATTTCAGCGTGCATCAATCATATATATATTTCTTCTTTGGAACTTCTCTGTTCCTATTTATACCCAGAATGTGGCTTCTTTTGATTGGAGCTATTGTTGTTGTAAGTTTTACACACTGGCTTTATAGATGGAGAAATCCCAAATGTAATGGAAAACTTCCACCAGGTTCAATGGGTTTTCCTCTACTTGGTGAAACCCTGCAGTTCTTTGCTCCCAATACCTCCTCTGATATTCCTCCTTTCGTCAGAAACAGAATGGATAGGTTTGTTGTGTTCCTTCTTGTTCTTTTTCTTTCTCCTCATGTTCTTATGGAACGCGCTTAAATGTTTCAGGTATGGACCGATATTCCGAACGAGTTTGGTGGGAAGACCGTTGATTGTCTCTACAGACCCTGACTTGAATTACTATATCTTTCAAGAAGAGGGACAATTGTTCCAGAGCTGGTATCCTGATACCTTCACAGAGATATTTGGAAGGCAAAATGTTGGTTCGCTGCACGGTTTCATGTATAAATATCTTAAGAACATGGTTCTTCATCTTTTTGGCCCTGAAAGTCTGAGAAAGATGATACCTGAAGTTGAGGCTGTAGCAACTCAAAGATTGAGACAATGGTCATCTCAAAACTCAGTTGAATTGAAGGATAATACTGCAAGTGTAATTACATACTCGAACATCCTTGTTAACAATGGCATGTTATAGAAATTCTGTTCATTTTCCATGTCTGATACTGATTTTTTGGTCCATGCAGATGATTTTTCATCTGACTGCAAAGAAGCTGATTAGTTATGATTCAGAAAATTCTTCGGAGAATTTGAGAGAGAACTTTGTTGCGTTCATACAGGGCTTGATCTCCTTCCCTCTAAATGTTCCCGGAACTGCTTATAACAAATGCTTACAGGTAATCCAAATATAGTGTAGAAATTCTAATGATGCGCACTTCCTCTGTATTCATTTTGCCATAGGCATTGAGGGTGCTCTTATGGATAGCTTCAAAGGCAAAATTTTAATTGAGAACTGCAAGATGAACTTTGGAGTTCTTTTAGAATAATTCAAAAGAAATTCCGTTTTCAGTTCAAAATTAAGCTTGTTTAGTAATAATTTCTTTATTTCATAATATATTCCTAATATACATAAGAAATAATTGCCAAATTTGGTATCAAAAGCTACATCTAAAAAGTTACTTTTTTTTAGCTTCTACAATATGGCTAGTTTAATGAACATGTAGTTACCATATCGATTAGGTTAGAAGCTTAACCTTTTAAAAGACGATTGATATCAAATTATTAGTTTGAATATATCTTTCTGTTATCTTTGAAAATGTCTTACTTCTTATAATCTCTCTCTCTCTCTCGATATATCTATATATATATATATATATATATATATACATATATTTATTTATTTATTTATACTATTTTCCCAACATTTGTTGTGTTTTGATATCAATATGACTTCAATTTGTTCCGTTCAAACTTAATAACAACACAGGTTACAATTGATAATGACTTGTTTTTGAACTGATCTATTGTAAAATTGATCTTTTACTTTGAAATGAATTAACAGGGCCGGAAAAGAGCGATGAGGATGCTGAAGAACATGTTACAAGAAAGGCGAGCAAATCCAAGGAAACAACAAATAGATTTTTTTGATTTTGTTCTTGAAGAACTGGAGAAAGATGGAACGCTTCTCACTGAGGAAATTGCTTTGGACCTTATGTTTGTACTACTTTTTGCAAGCTTTGAAACTACTTCACTTGCTATTACAGCAGCCATCAAATTTCTCCTCAACAATCCTCATGTGCTCGAGGAGCTGACGGTCTGTTCTGTTCTATTATAGCAGCCATAAAAGCTACTTGCTTTCCACAACCTTGTTGAAATCTGTCCTTTTCTGATGAGTATTTGCATCTTTATCAGGCTGAACATGAGGGAATATTGAGGAGAAGGGAAAATGCACATTCTGGGCTTACTTGGGAGGAATACAAATCCATGACATTCACATTTCAGGTTACTTGAATTATTCATATGTTCATTCTTTTCTCTCTTTTATGCCCTATGTTTCTCACCAACCAACTTCATCAAATTTCAGTTTATCAACGAAACGGCGAGACTGGCAAATATAGTTCCAGGAATCTTTCGAAAAGCACTTAGAGATATCCAGTTTAAGGGTATGCAGTAGTAGCATTTAAGATGTTAGATTTTTTTTTTTTTTTCCTGCAAAAGATCATCCCAGATGTTGACTAAAAATGTATGCACCTTAATTCGAGCAGGATATACCATTCCAGCAGGCTGGGCTGTTATGGTCTGCCCTCCAGCTGTGCACTTAAACCCGGAAAAGTACATCGATCCCCTTGCTTTTAACCCGTGGCGATGGGAGGTATGTTGAGGATACATCGTTAGTCCTTTTTTTTGTTGTCTGAGCTAGTTACTATTGTGAGTAGTTTCACTACGTTTGATATTTGGGATCACAATAATTGATTTTCCTTTTTGCCAGAAATCTGAACTGAAGGGAGCTTCTAAACATTTCATGGCTTTTGGTGGGGGCATGAGGTTCTGTGTTGGTACAGATTTTACCAAAGTTCAAATGGCTGTGTTTCTCCATTGTCTGGTTACAAAGTACAGGTAAGTTGCAAGAGAGAGTAAGACAGGACTAACCTTTTATATATAAAACTTTTTAATTTTCGTAATACAACTCTTTGGTCCCTTCGAGAACATCCGATAAAATTGGAACGATACTTGCTAAAACTTTACGAATCGAAGACAAACTAGGGGCAACTACGTGCCTCTGTCCTTGAGGCAGACAACTAATGTTTGTACATTTGGGACTCTCAGGTTCAAAGCAATCAAAGGAGGCAACATCGTCCGAACTCCCGGTTTACAGTTCCCAGACGGCTTTGACGTTCAGATCATGGAGAAATAACGAAAAAACCTTCAAGAAGAAGATAAAGAGAAGTAGCAAGACATTGGAATGCATGAGGTGAGCATCACTTTTGTATGAGAATCAGACGTATCTTTTTGATCCAAACAAAGGAAAATTGTGAAGTAAAGATGTTGAAAGCAATGAAGCTGCGTAGTATTACAAGTCTGTAATCTTCACAAAGCATCATAGTGTCTCAGTATTATCATTCATTTTGTTCATCTTTATTACTTCTTCTTTTTGTCTTTGTCCTGATAGTACAGTCATAGAAGGGGAAAGAAAATGAAAGCCATCCATATAGTATAGTCAGTGTTATCATATTGTATGCCTTGTTATAATGTAAAATTTACTTCCATTTTGTGTAATGGTGAATGCTTGTGTTTTGGTGTTGAAGCACCACTACTCATACAAAATATGAATTTTGTGCAGCCCTTTTGTTACATTCTTGATACTTGTGGAGTGATGAAGTTTATGAAAATTGATGTGGAAATGACCTTTTTCCTTTGAAACCATTCCCTTCGGTAAGAAATTGAATCAACCGATTGAACTAAAATGGACCTAAATGAAATTGAAGGTAACCTTTGTTTGAGTTACCATTTTGGGTGGAGGGAGAATTCATATCTTTTTTGGTCGAGAGTACACATCTTATGCCAATTAAAGTTCATAACTAATCATTGGAAAATAAACTGTTCACACATCATACAACTTCGATCTCAATAACTCATGATAAATATTACAATGAAACATGCAAGACATAGACAACCAATTCATCTAACCAAACTTTAAGGCATTCTAAATGCAACTTCACTTGCTTCAATAAGCTCAATTCAATGGTCTTAAGCTCCCTACAACTTACTTCAATAAGTAGGGTTGAATTAAGTTGAATTGTAACCTATTTTTAGGTCGATTGGGAACAAAATGTCAACTGAACTAACCCAAATTTTTCAATTTTCCAAAATTTGAACCCTAACCCAAAGGAGGAAGAAAAAAATGTAAGCCAGCCTAACTTTTATAGTTTGAATTAGGTAGTCCAAGTTGATCAAGTCATATGAACACCCCTAATTTAACTCTTAGATATTTATCAACGTTTATAGTTCATGAAAACAATTATTAGAATATATCATCTCATCTAGATCGAGATCAACATTTTACTAACTAACACATACTTGATAGACTCAACAATAGGCACAAAATAAAAAGTAGCACAAACAATTAATGAGACATTGCACAATATATGATTCAATGGTTCAAGTACATAATAAATTTAACTTTAAATACAACTTTGATTAATTTTGGTACTGTACTTCTAACTTTAGTTTACTTGGGTCCATGAACATTAAAAAAAATGACCATTTTCATCCCTTAAAAATGAAATGAAAATGAATAAAACTTCATCCAAAATACATCTAATTAGGTATAAAAAAAAAAAAAAGAATATAGGTTGGATGTCAGAGAGAGTTGCAAAACTGACACACGAACTCCCAAAGGTAGCAACAAAGTTTGGAATAAAGAACAAAAACAAAAGATTTGTAACTTAAATTTATTGAGCAACAAGATTACAGAAGTTGAGGACTAGGGAGAAGGAAACAAAAGGGAATGCCTTGGGGTGGGGGGGTATTAGTCATTACAGAGAACCTTCAATCGCCATTTACACGAGCAGCAACCTGGGCACAGAGCAAAGACTACAGCAAAGAATAACATTCACTACAACAATAATAGCAACTGCAGCAAAAGAAAGAGGCCTATACTGAGTTTGCTGATCCATCCCTTTCACAACTACACACAACGCACCTGTATATACGTTCTTTCATACACATAAATGTAATTTCAAACTTCCTCTTGAGCAAGATTGCTACTTTTCAGGATGTTGTACTTGCAGAGAGGACAGGTAGCATTAATATACAGCCACTTATCGACACAGGCACAGTGGAAATGGTGACCACACGGAAGCTCTCGTAGCTCGACGCCATCCTCATATGCAGAAAGGCAGATACAGCACTCCTAAAATACGAGATTTCCATCAAACAATCATCTATTTGAGAGCAGAAGAAGCCTATTCTAGTTTATAACAAAATAAGATCCTGCAACGGACTGTATTTCAGTTTTGGCATATGATAATGGTATGGCATACATACCGCATCCTCCTGTGAGAGGGCACGTTCAATGGGTGAATCTGTACTACATTCGATCATTATGCCACCAAGAGGTTCCTGTACATCAGCGGAGAATTTCTCTGCATCATCAACCTTTCTGAATGTAAATTTTGACAACTGTTCAACATCTTCTTTGGTTGCTCCTTCCTGCATATATGCATAATTATATGCATCAAGGCAGTACAGTTGGCCTTGTAAACAAACTAAACACATTATTAATCTTAGATGGTCTTGGCCCTAGGGTGAAACATAATACTGGCTACCAAACTCAGGTCCTAAACTCTCTCTTTCTTTCCTTTTCTTTTTCTCATCACCCCCCCACCCCACCTCTCTCTCTCTCTCTCTCTCTCTCTCTCTCTCTCTCTCTCT